GCCTGTATATGTCAGATCCCGTGCACAGAGAAGTGAGAATAATATATTTGATGATATTTGATTTTTGTGGGCAGTTTACTTGTAATTTTTTTTTTCAGAATTCAATCGAAATTTTGTTTTAAAAATTATTCTATTCTAATTATCCTTTTCTTATTGAAAAACTTTCTATACAAAAATATGCATAATCCTTAAATAAATACAAAAAAAAAACAGTTCTATGTAAATCTAATTGAATTTAACTTTAATATTCAAATTAAGCTGTCTTTTAGTATATAAGAATTTATTTTAAGACTAAATAAAACAATTCTAAAAAAATATCAGCAATGATTTACTGATTTTCTTCACAATTTTCAGTCCAAAACAGAAAAATTACAACAAAACACCAAAAATATGGTAATCTGTTCCTTTTGATTTCAATTCACGAGGAACATGATGTTGAAAAATTGAAAATTATAATGAAATATAAGATCAGATTCCTTCCGTAAACATGGAAATTTTTAAAGTTCCGAAAATTAGGAAGAATTTAAAACTTAAAAATAAGAGCATCGTTAATAATTTTCTTTGTTCTTTTTCCTTTTTTAATCCAATTAAAATTTATTTTTAAACCCGAATCGAATAAAAAAAAAATTGTTATATTGTTCTGTTTACATTCTGAACTGTTATAAATATTATTCGTATAAACAATTAAGAGAATTTTTTTTTCAAATTTATTTTGAATTTTAAAATAGGAAAATTGGTTGCCTATACATTGAATTTGTTCATTTAGTTTCTTAAAATTTTGTATAAATTTATGGAATCTTTTAATTTAAACTCTGTTATAAAGTTAATTTGCAGTTCCAAGAATTTTTGTATTGCTATACAAAGTAAGATTGGAATAAATATTTTGTTAAAATTTAGAATAAATCTGCTTCTAAGAGGCTTTTATTTCAAAAATTTAATTGGAAAAAGTTAAAAATTTTTTAACTGAAAACTGTTCTATTATCGCATATAAGGGTGTTTCGCATAAGGTGGCAAAAAATTTAAAGGATGACTCTTTAATCAAAAATTGCAAAGATCTTACAGGGTGGGATGCTACACGTTTTCGAGCAATACCAAATTTTTTCTGTTCCTGAAAAACGGGAAAAGAAAATTTTCATGATTTTCCTTAATTTGGCGAGTTTTCTGTGCAATCATATACTGGTTCCAGGAACTATATCTATAATTTATGTAGCTCGTGAAGCAGTATTCCTCAATTTTCATCCGCAGCTCTAAAATATTTACAAGACGTATTCGTGATATTTCAATTTATTCCAGTTCCCCCTCATTATCCTGCCTGTTTGCACTTTCTTTAATATTAAAGTTAAAAATTATTAATTTTAAATTACAATTCCCTTTAAAATATAGAATTATAGAATTTTTCCCAATTTTATTCTCCAAGAATATTTTCAAATTGTTTGCCATACCACTCAAAATCCGGTATGTATATATAAAGTGAGCTTAGAACATTACTCACATTTACACACGTACAATTTAATACGCTTTCAAATAACAATTATTCAGAATTAAAAATTAAATGTTATTAAAATTAATGATGTGAAAGTTAAAAGTGTTGAATAAATCTCATTTCTTATTTTGCATTTTTTGTTCTAAAATTATTTAAAATAATTTATTCAGAGGAAAAGAGAAAAAAAGCAGAATGATTTCTTCCTTTTCGTTTCGATTCAAAATCATAACACAAATAGGATTAAAATACACAACAAAACTATTGTACATGAGAACAACGACCTTGAAATTTTGGAATTTTGTAAAAGAGACTCAAGGAAAATTTCATTGTAAAAAAAAACTCACTCTTATAAATCTACTTATAAATTTTTGTAAAGGGTAAAATGTTGTTTTTTTTTAAATTAATTATTTTTTAAAGCGATCAGAACGTCGGCAATAATTTATTACAAAAAAAAAAAAAACCCAAAAAGGTGTGTAAAATTTCATAAATTCAAAAGATTTTTTAAAAAAGTCTCCAATTCAAGTGTGGGTTATTGTTGAGTTGGATGAGACAAAAGTGTGAATTTGTTGTGCAAAATTTTAAATGAGTTCAAAATATTTAATTAAAAAATGTGGAAGGTGACGGCACCTATACTAAAATATTATAACTTAAAATTTATGATTTCTAATTTATTTGACATTAATGTTTTTAGGACATAAGGTAAGCTTTAGGGATCTAAGCCAATTTTTGAAGAGCTCGGGCTGGTTCGAATGAGAAGCTGAAAAAGAGAAATCCAGCAGTGCCACACTGGACCAATGCATACCCTTCGGGGAGCCGCAACACCTAACCTAACTTAATCTAGTACATAATTCAAATAAAATGTGCTTTTTAATTTAACGTTTTGCGTCCAATCCCGTCCATTACTAGCACGTTTTTTAAATATCTTCAACTTTTTAAGATCGAGTGCTAAATTTGAGGCATAATTCTCTTAGCTCTTGAAAAATTTTGATCACTAAAAGGCTTAAAATGCAGGAAATTTGCTGTAACTCATTTCTATATTTAAATTTTCTGTATTCTGTACCTGTAGCAACAGTAATTGTCTTCATATTCTCAAATTAGATAGTGAATTTTAATTGAATTGATTAAGCTGAATTAACAAAAAAAAAATTTTTTTTTTGCACCCAGAAGTATGCAAATTTCAAGAATATTAAAATATCAAAATTATTACGGAATTAATTGAAATAACTGAAAAACAAAATTTTTTCAACACATTAAAGAGGAAATGTGTTACTTTACAAACACTTGATTTTGGCTGAACTAATTTGTAACATTATAAAATTGTTTTAAAGCTCATAATTGAAAAAATCTTTAAGTTAAATAAATTTTCGTATTAAAATTTAATGATTTTCAAAAATTTAAGGATTTGCAATAAAATTGTTCATTAATCATTTAATTTTCCCATTAGTCTAAAAGAATGTAATGCGCGAGAAAAATGAGTCACACGTGTTAAAAGTCCAATTCATAAATCAAAATTTTTTTAGTTTAATTAAATTTTCCACTACCGATCGTTTATTTTTAGGTAACAATTTAAATTTCACTGCGTTTTTCTGGTTAACATAAATTAAAGTTTCAATCACAAGCACCACAGTTCCACAGCTCAAGTCATTCTACAATAAACACGAATTTTAATTGCAAGCAAATTTCGTAAATTTACTCGGCTTGTCGTGATTTTACACTAAATGATATCAATGAAAATTCTTTTATTCATTAATAAAAAAAATATTTAAAAGGACTACACATTATTCCTTACACACCTGTAAATAAACTGAATCAAATCCTTAGAATTTCTATTCTATTCCATTTTCAAGTTTAAGTGTCTTTTATATTATACATTTTTCAAAATAAATAGTAACGAGTTCATTAAAAACAGGAAAACAAAAATTGAAATAAATTCTAAGAAAATTTTTTCTTAAATTTATTCAAATCGTCTTAAATATACATACAAACAAACACACTCATAAAGAGAAAATATGGAAATAACTCTTCTTTACAAAATTTATTTTTTATATTTACAATAATATTTTGAATGCCATTAAATCCTATTAATTCATATATACGAGTAACTACATACACCTACACTATAATATGAAAAGGATTTGAATACAGTAAATAAAAATGGGAAAGAACAAAAAAAAAATACTTGGAACTGTGAAAATCAAGTATAATTTTAGTAACCTTGCAGACATTGACGCAATTTTTAATTTAAACTCATTTTATAAAATCCTATTATGGAATTTCTCTTCACCTTCTCTTTTTTTTCTTTATTGCTCAGAATTTTTTAAATTAATACTCGAAACTTTTGTTTTAATTTATAAATTACTGTAAACTAGACAATACTCATGTACGACATCTATTATGAGATTCTGAATTTAAATTTTAAATGTAAAAAGACCACATTGAATTGAATATGAAATTTTGTTTACAAAGGAAATTTCTCTTGTTTCTTATATATTTTGAGAGCGACACAATCCTCGTATATTATAAATGTCATAATTTCTAAACGATTTTCCAAGTAGTAATAAGACAATATTGCTTTTAAGGAATTATGTAGTTTGAATTAAATAATTCCTCTCTTTATCTCTTCATACCAGAACATACAAGTTCGTCATACACAATTTATACAATAAACACAATTAATAAAGTTTAATTTAAATTACAAATGCACTTTCTTATTAAGTGTGAAGTATTGGTTCAGAAAAGAAGAACAACCACGGGTGGACCGATACTGTAAACATATCATTGTTTGTTATTTTGCTGGAAAAGTTGGTTGGGTTCATCAAAAATGTGAGTTTTTGTTGAATCCTCGAGACGGTGGCAAAACAAACTGAGCGCTCGGTGGTGGGAAAAAGGGGCCCAAAACTTTAATCCGTACAACTAAATTATTTAAAATTACTAAATTGCAATCAGTTTGTACAAAATTACGTATTGTTTGATTGCTTATTTGTTTGCGATCATACAGTCGCATTTGTGTATTCTTGAGCCGAATACAAATAAGCAATCAAACATTTTCAAAACTGCTAAATTGTATATCTGTCCGAGCCCCTATATGTACAATAATTTAAATATAAAGTATGAAAGTTTTATTTTAGTAAATTTTTGAAAATTTTAAATTTCTTATAACATTGAATTTGATTTTTACTTACTTGCTTTTAGTTTGAGCTTCAGATAGTTTTGTATGATTTCCAAGTATTTTCTAACTTAAATACATAAAAATAAATTCACATTTTCTTCCAATTACGATTTCAAATTCAATAATTGAAAATTTAATAAGATTCCTCCAAAAATTTTCTTTATTTTCTTTAAAGTTTAGTTCACTAAATTCACTAAATTCACTAAAAATAATTCATGAATTTTTAAAAATTTAAATTTTCAATATTTTTTTTTCAATATTTTTTTTTGTAATGAGAAAAATTTTTAAAAAAATATTTTTTATTTTGATTTAAAATTTCAGGTTGCTTGAAAAATTAAAATAAAATTTTTGTTTTTTTATTAATTATTATTCACTTCCGTTCAGAAATTCACTGATTGTGTTATAGGTTATGTCAAAACGATATTTGAATTGATTATTGTGAATAGTTTTTATTGTGGCGAGAGATTAAGAATAAAAATTGCAATTTTAATAATATTCTCTTTAATTTTTTGACAATTTTTAATCTCAATTCTCGCAATTATTTGAAATTTTCTGGGAAATATTAATTCACAATAATTTCCTCTTGCTGAAAACGCTGCACGAAATCTAAAAATAGAAAGAAGAAAAAAATTATTTTATCAATAATAAAATCTAATGCAAATCTTAATTATTATTTAAAATTTAAAAATTTTATTTAAAAAATTTCACTAAAATTGAATATAATTACATTAAATGTTGTCAGATGTTTCCAGACGCATTCAAAAATCTCTTACAAAATTATCTAAAACAAGGAGTTTACACGTTTCACTGACAAACCGTATTATCTGATATTAACACTAATGATACGTCATGTTAAATACGTCTATTGAAAATTTGGCATGCAAATAGTTTTCATTAGAGCGCAATATTTTGAAAAATATTTACGATAAAAACTGTTGTAAGTGATTACGATATAAAACAACTGAAATATTCTTAATCTTTTTGACGTCATATTTAATACTTAAATTTTCCTTAAATTCTTAAAATTTTTTTTACGGTATTCAATTTAAGCACATGGTTTTTTCTTAAATCCTTAATTTTTTTTTAAACAAAGTCAAAATGAGTGGTTTCAAAAGATCAAAAAATTTTCTATATATAATAGGTATATGTAAACAGTGCATAAAATCAAGAATTAGATAAAATTCATTCAAGTTTAGAAAAAAAAAACGTATACCAAAAAAACCTAAAACAAAAGGCTCCCCGGCATAATTTTTCTACGCTTATATCAAATTAAAATTATTTTCTATTCCAAAAGGAATTCAAAGCCTTCAAACCTCAAAGTAAAATAAGCAGAAAAAATAGAAAAAACATAGAATAATAGAAGAGGAAAAATCAACCTAAAGACCTCATCCTTCTTCATTTATTCATTATTATCTTCTATTTTTTTTTTCTATATTTTCTTAATGTATACTTGTGGGTTTTTGTGATGCGGAAGGAAAACGCTTAACCAAGACTCAAGTTAAAAGTAATTTTTCCCTCATATTTTATATTTTGTTGGTTTTGTTTTTATTGTTTTATTTTGTTGTCTCTTTATAAAATAAAAATAGAAATTTTTCAATTCTTTGATTTTTTTTATTTTTTTTGAAAATTTTCATTCGAAACCATCACGTTTTTAGGGGCAAAAAAAAATTTAATTTTTTTTGTTGTAGAATAAAAGAAAAACATGTTTTCGTTGTGTTCCCACTTTGCATGTAATGAATTAATGTTTTTGATTCAAGAACAACAAACGAGAAAAAAACGATTAACACATCAGCAGCATGAAACCTATGGCAATGAATGTTTTTGTTTTAATATACAAATCGTTTGAAATTTCAAATATTGATTTTTTATTTATGTTTTCTCGTTTTAAAATAACTATAATTAACTAAAAGGCATTGTGAAGTATTATTGACAGTTCGGAATTATAAAAAGTGTTATTACTATACACCAGCAACATCTACAAATTTTATAAGAAGTAATTTTCGAATTTTTCGTTCAAGAACTCCTTAATTGAATTCTAATTTCTCTTAGGCGAATTTTATTACGTCCCGAAATATTATTAATTGTATTTTATTATTCATAACATTTTATACTTCGGAAACTTACGTAGTGACGTAAATAAGCTAGAGCTACGTAATATCAAAATATTGTGTCAAGAAATAAAATGTCAAAATATTGTGTCAAAATATTTTTATATAGATGTTTTTAAAAGAGCGTCCAAAATACGCGATATATCGTAAACAGCATTTGTTCTTTTAAAATCATTTGTTGTTTGCAAGTGCTTCTTGGTTGTTGTCAAATTATTGGTTTTGTTCCAAATTGTAAAATATGCAGCTATCAATTTAGAAATTGAGATGTAATGGTGTGTACTTTAATATTTATTATTCGTCAATAATTTATTTGACTGTAATTGACAAACACTTGACATATGCTTACTTTCTGACATTTTGATTTAAAAATAAGTTTTTTTTAAGTTTTAAATAAAATTAGTAACAAAATATATCCGTTCGTTGCACGTGGCGTAAAAATTTACTTTCGAGTAGTATACAATACGCATTGGTTTATGTCTTGGCTTTACTAATTTAAATTTGATTAATTTTTTTTAAAAATTCTGTACTAAAGCCGACGGTTCTTAAGTTTCACTAAAAATCAACTTTAAAACTGTCATTTGATTAGAAAACAAAATAAATTTTATCTTGTTTTGAAATATAGTCAAAATGTGCGGTACCAGGAGGACACGATTTCAAAATAAAATGTCAACAATGTCAAAATTTTAAATTAATTATAAAAAAAAAAAAAACCTCAAAACTATGTGAGTGAGCCCTAATCGAGTCCTTTTTTAAATTAATGAGAAATAAGCTTAAAATTTATCTTTTAATAAAATGAAGATTTTGTAAACTTTTTACCAAAATTTGTTCTATATACACAAACACATAATAAAATAGAAACAACTAGTATGACAAAAGGTCAATGATCTTATAAAAGAATTCTTTTAAAGAATTCCAAGCCCGCAATAAATTGAATTGAATTTTGATTTTAGAGGAAAATTTAAAAAATAATTCAAAACTAAAATAAGGCAAAAACAATAAAAATTTTTGAAAAATTATTCTGAAGAAGGAAGGCTACTACAATTCTGTATCTTTTGCTCTCTAGATACCCTTAAGGATGACTGAATAAATTGTAAATCATTTATTCCATATCCTTAACTAGATGATGAACAAAAGAAGTATAGAGGGTAAAAGGAATTCATTTTTTTTATTGTTATAATAAATGGTGTGGCAATTGATTTTCTTTAATATCAGAAAATGAAAAAATACTTGTGCAGATCAATTCTAAATCACTGACTTTGAAATAGTTACTTTACCACTAAGGTTCTACTTATAGGAAGAAAATATTTTCTTTTATCAGTTTTTTTTAATTCTTCAGGATTTTGTTAATGAAATAGAGTAAAAGGTTTTGGAAAATCTAGATATTTTGTTCTAAAAAATATTTATAATTTGTGAATCTTCCGATTGTTTTAGATTTATTCGTTTAGCAGATAATTGATAATTTTTAGCATTGCAGTTAGGACAATCAGCCCATTTGTAGGGTTCCGGAAAATATAATTTTCTAAAGCCAGAATTAGAAGCACTTATATATAAGACGGAAGATTTTTGAATGACACTATTCTTAAGCCACTAATGAGTTTCATTACAATATTGAACCTAAATAAGAGGCACTTGAATAAGATGCAAATAGTAATTTTGCAGGTTCATTTGAATTTTCTAAAAAATTTAAACTTGTGAATGAAATTTCTTATAAATGAAGTTTTGTGAATTTTACTAGTACAATTTCGGATTACAGTCGAATCTGAATATGAATAATTAAAAAACTCGAACTAATAAGTGGAAATTAAAAATTTAGTTCAGTGGAAATTTTTGTTTTTCAAATTTAATTGTAGATTGTAGAGGGTTTAAAGACTCATTAAAATATTTTTGAAAAATCCAAGTGTACGAATTTTTATTTAAAAATTAAATTAAATCAATATTTTTCATTTAATTACTGAAGAATATTCATATACACTTGATATCAATGACAATGTCTCTATTATACTCAAATGCTTGTACAATACTAAGGATGTGACCTTAAATTTTAATAAAAAATTGAAGTAATTTTAACGTTATGAGTTGATGTTTTCAATTTAAAATATAATGTATGTAAAAGTACTATATACCACCTATATAAACCTATAAATTCCCTAACGATTTTCATTGAATATTTTTCCCCCATATGCTTCTGTTTACTTTGCATACACAAGTATACACATAACAATTTTTATTTCCTGTAATAATAAATAATAAGTGCCTTTTTGAATGTTAACAATTATCCTTAAAATATCAAAAAATCAAAAAACAAAAAAGATCACAAAATTTTTTCAGGTTCAAAGTATCTGTACAATATGCTTAGCCTACAAAATCACTAAAATAAATATATATATAAAACGTTCCAATATTTCATGTATTCTAAATTATGGTACGCAAAATATTTACGATATGATCACGTGAGTGTATACGTCAAAATTTTTACCTTTTACTACACACACACACACACAAATGTTAATAATTTTAATAATTATTCAAAATTATATTTTCATGTATCATACAAGTATTTCGCATACAATTACATATACGCAGAATAACAGTGTTTTCTTTCGCAGTTATAATTTGTAAATGTAAAATATAAAAAGCAAAATGGAATAATATGGGAATTGAAAGTAATAAAATATTTTATAAAATATAAGTACCCTATTATCTTATATTTGAATCATCTTCGTGCTTGTCGTTATGTCATTGTATTTAAGGTAGAGTTACGAGTTTTAAAATGAATAAGAAGAGAAGATAGATCGTGTCAATCCTTGTGACATAACTGCAGAAATATTTTCTAAGAAAATGACAGATGACAAATGAAAAATGTCAGATGACAAATAACAGCTGACAGATGAGAGATTTCATATGACAGATGACAGGTGACAGATGAAAGCTGACAGGTGACATATGACGGATGGCAGATGACAGATGTCAAATGACAGATGACAAATGAGAGATGACAGATGACATATGACAGATGACAAATGACAGACGACAGATGACAGATGACAAATGAAAAATGACAGGTGACAGATGATAAATGGCAGATGGCAGATGACATATGACGGATGACAGATGACAGATGACAGATAAAAGATGACAGCTGGCATATAACAAATGAAAAATGAAAAATGTCAGATGACAAATGACAGCTGACAGGTGACAAATTTCATATGACAGATGCAGATGAATTGTCATTTTTGAGTAAAGACTTCAAAACGTCATATGTTCGCCATTTATAATAGATATTGTAATTTTAAAAGATATATGCTTTCGGATTTGCAAAATTAACAAAATTAATTGTCAAAACCACCGGATAGCGCAGCAATATTTTTTGTGAACATATGATTTTCAAAAATTTTTGATGTCTGTAATTGTCAATTTATTATCTGTCAGTTTTACGTTATTACGTCAATTGAAAAATCATTAGTTTGCCCACCCGAATTCCCCAATGTAAAGATG